CCCGGTCTCAGCCCGTCTGGCGTCCTGTAGCAGCCAGCCTGATGTTACCTCGCCATCTCACACAGCGGTGCACCACTCTACTTTTTCTCTGGGTGTTTTTGTCTCGTGAGTGGTTGGTGGGTGCTCAGGTGTGGGTTAACTCCTTCTTTTCCATCAAACATAATATATCGTCCTTATCTCTTCTTTGTTGTTGTTGTTGTTGTTGTTGTTGTTGTTGTTGTATTTGTCATCCTCTTGTAACACCTCTTATCTTCGGCACTTAAATATGACTTCGATTGTGTTGCAAGTGCAGTCAAACTTTTATTAAGGCAAGAGTTTTCTCCCCAGCCCCGGTCGTGCTCTGACGTGCGGAGTAGGAAACCCCGACCTGTGGTCACTCTCATTAACGGTATGACTGTCGTCTGCGACACCAAGACTGACAACGGCGGGTGGATTGTTATACAGGTGAGATAATTCACAAGATTTTTACCTGAATACAGGCAGATACAGTAGAACTGTGAGCAGCATTTCACACCAATACAGGCAGATACAGTAGAACTGTGAGCAGCATTTCACACCAATACACACAGATACAGTAGAACTGTGAGCAGCATTTCACACCAATACAGACAGATACAGTAGAACTGTGAGCAACACTTCACTCCAATACAGACAGATACAGGAGAACTGTGAGCAACATTTCACGCCAATACAGGCAGAACAATACAAGTGTCAGCAACATTTGACTCCAATACAGACAGATACAGTAGAACTGAGCAACATTTCACGCCAATACACGCAAATACAATACAGGTGTGAGCAACATTTCACGCCAATACACGCAGATACAGTACAGGTGTGAGCAACATTTCACGCCAATACACGCAGATACAGTACAGGTGTCAGCAACATTTCACGCCAATACACGCAGATACAGTACAAGACTTAGTGTCAGCAACATTTGACTCCAATACACGCAGATACAGTACAGGTGTGAGCAGCATTTGACTCCAATACACGCAGATACAGTACAAGACTTAGTGTCAGCAACATTTGACTCCAATACACGCAGATACAGTAGAACTGAGCAATATTTCACTAACACGCAGGCGGGTACAATACGGGTGAGATCATCATTATTTTACTGTAATGTAGGCTGACAGAATAAAGGTGAGATCATCATTATTTTACTGTAAAGTAGGCTGACAGAATAAAGGTGAGATCATCATTATTTTACTGTAAAGTAGGCTGACAGAATAAAGGTGAGATCATCATTATTTTACTATAAAGTAGGCTGACCAGGATAAAGGTGAGATCATCATTATTTTACAGTAAAGTAGGCTGACAGAATAAAGGTGAGATGATTATATTTCTGCAGTACAAACTGACACTCAACACGTGAGATCAGCATTATTTTATTGTAATTCATATTGATACAATACAATTGAGATCAGGGGCGAAGGCTGACTTGTTTGACAGGGTAATCAAAGTGAAACGGGACCAGATATGGCCTGTAGATATGACACAAGAATTTTACTCGAGGCGGCGACTCTGAGTTGTGAATGAAAACAAATCCGGAATTCATATTGTATGTTCAACCGCCAAAATAATCGGGAAAGTATCTTATTAAATTTCAGTTCCAACTAAAATTAAATGTAACTTTAGATGTGAATACATAAACACAAAGCAAAGAAGCAGAGACGTCAGTACTAGATCTATATGTTATAGATCTACCAGTGAGTCTAACTCTTTGGTAGAACATGACAATTATCATGTTTTAAATTTTACATTTGGCTGTTTTTGTTAGCCTTCCGCGGCCAGGAGCTGGTGTCATAATCGAGGTCACGATCTGATTATAGGACGGTAAAAAGTCGAGGAAAAAAAGCAAGCACTTGCAACAGTGAAGAGATTGTTAGGAGTTAGTTCCCCTCACATTTGTGAGGTAGACTCGACCAGTGTTAGTTAGCTTACATAATCAGGGCTTGAGATTGATTTTAACTGTGACCCCAAAGGGGTGAACAGAGTATATGTGGCAATGAAACAGCTTAGACTGCTATGCACATGTTCCCTTCAACTATATTGGTTGACTCTTCCAACCTCACTTTAAGCTTACTTAATCAAAGCTTGCGACTGCTTATGGAGTGGCCTGAGAGGGGTGAGGAGGCTATTTCTGTGGCCGTGAAACCGTTTTGAATGTTAGGCATACTGTTCATTGTTGATTACGAACGTCTTTTGACATTTAATTTAAGAGGTTTACGTTTATGGATGAATTTGACAGCGACAATGTTTCAAAATTAGGAAGGGAAGCAGTGATTATTTGATTATATAGACGCTTCGCCCCTGATTGAGATAAACATTGTGATATTGTAATGCAGGTTTTTACAAAACAGATGGAATCAACATTCTTTTACTGCAATACAGTATTACGAAAGTAGACTATGCACAAAGGGATCTAAACAACATTAAAAAAAACTTATTATACCAGTAAGATAAATTGTTGCTAAAATTTTAACGTGCATTT